TCTTCGTAGTTGTTTTGTGTCTCTTTGTGGAGGTTTTGTGTCTCTTTGTAGTCATTTTGTGTCTCTTTGATTGTCTTTGTATACGTTTTGTATCTCTTTGTAAACGTTTTGTGTGTCTCACTAGTCATTTTGCATCTCTTTGTAAACTTCATGTGTCTTTTTGTAATAGTTTGTTTGACTCTCCAACAAGAAATGTTGGCCTAAAGAAAAGTTACAAAGAGCTTCATCTTTCTGAAGATGGTCACACAGGACAGGTGTGCACATACTCATGTTTGTTAAAGATGAAATTAAATTAAAGAAATAATAACTGCATAAAACATGAAAACTTACACCCTAATCTCTAAATACCCCTGCACGGTTCAGTCTCCCATACATAAACTTGCTTACAGAAAGTACAAATCAAACAAAATGCTCCATTTTGGGAGGATATTTTATCATAATTGGTTTCCAAAATACCTAAGGCCTGTCTGGTATTAACCAGCATAAATCAGCATATTGTGCATCATGATTTATATATGACAAGTGCGCATATAAACTCTAATCCTGCAGCATTCCAGTCAGGAATATTCCTCACTTGACAATGCATCCGTCTACAAAGCTTTGACATTTTCAGGCAGATAGAAAATCAGTGTGATTATTTATTGCAAGGTGTATTTGATACAGAGCTGCACCCAGATGTACATGACAAACCACGACACATTTCTGTTGTTTTTTAGGCAGGCCTGATACAGAGACTTGTACTTTAAGTAAGACTACAAATATGAAAAATGTTAAGTACAACTTGCCTTAAAGTCAGAGCTCACTCTGTGCACAGCTAAGATGTGGTATATCACCACTGTATATTGAGACTGGAAGATACAAAGGTGTAACTGAATATTGTGAGCTGAAATGATTTCTTTCTATACTCTTTGTGGAACATCGCTTGATGCAGAGGTTTATGTCTGTTTTGCCTGATAAAGTTTGTGTTTATATCTGGATGATTTTTATCTATTGTGCTGCTGGATGATGATGGGTTAAATACCAGAATGTTTGGCTGGTTATTGGTTAATGTGTCTGGATAATCCCATGAGGGATGAGTCATGTAAATGTCCAGACACGAAAATTAAATATTCATTCATTCACTTGTTTCACTTTAAGTGTTCTCTAGTTCTTACTGGGTTGCTGCATATCCTGATATAAGTGTTGTTCTCAATTACCCACCAAACACTTTTAATTACTAGCTTTTTATTTGACAGTGAATCTGGGACGTTGCCGCTCACAGTCGGTGCCCGGGGCTAGCCACTCACCAGACCATGTTTATATGCAATGTCTCTAAAGTTTGGGCCCCAAACAAACTATTATTTACATGACAGTCTGTGCTACTCAGAAACCAAAATACTGATGATTTTATTTTTTTGCTGCAGGCTTAATTTCTGCCCTTAAAAAGAACAAACACTCCATGAAAAAACAAATCATGTAAAACTAATTTGAGCAGCTCTGAGTGAATCTCCTGTGAGTCAACCCGGGGCTGAACTGGGACTAATTTATATTCGGCTCTCACATGATACCAGTTGACTGAATGTTAGTCAGCCTATCGATTGATTCAACAGTCTGTAAGTTCATGCCAGGAACGCGTCCCGATCTGGTCCCATATACACACTGGAAGTCATTAAGACTCAATTAGCCACGAGGCCCCGGGGCAGAGGAGGGAAACAAGAAACCACAAGTGAGGAAGAGAAGAATCTGTTCTGCCCTCTGGGAAAAACACAATGTCGAACAGTGGTCAGCTGCGGGTGAGGAGGGCGTGTGACTTAAGTGTCACTGTGACATCCTGCACAGGTGGGGACGGTCAAAACTAATACAGGTAATAACACACATATGAACAATGGGGGTGCAGTGGTGAGCATTGTTGCCTCACAGCAAGAGGGTTGCTGGTTCAAACCAGGAGTTTGGATCCGGGTTTCTCCCACAGTCAAAAGACATGCAGGTTAATTGGTGAGAATAGTTGTCTGTCTCTACGTGTCAGCCCTGTGACAGTCAGGTGACCTGTCCAGGGTCCTCTCGCCCAATGTCAGCTGGGATAGGCTCCAGCCCCCCCATGACCCCTAACAGGATAAGCAGTTACTGAAAATGACTGAACAATGGGTCTGTTTGCCATCTGGTGTAGATAAACTAATGAATACAATGAGGCTGAAAGTCAAAGATTTGAATCATCAGTCTATAATTCTTCAAGTCAAACCGTCATTTATTGGTTAGTGGTTAATTAATCAGGGTGCAGTGTACTTGTGGGGGACATTGCAGTCCCCAGAAGCAGCTGCAGAGTCAGAGCTCCTCGCTGTCACGCTGCTCTTTCAGATAAAATCATTACACTACGTGAAGTCATGCAGTCCGCTTGCTGAAGATGTCTGCGATGGGTTCAGGCAGCTGCGAACCCGGACCTAGGATGACGCCTAGTTTCCATACAGTTTTGTTTTGTGTGTAAATTTCCGCATAGTATACAGAGTACTTTCCCTACTGTTCAACACAAGGAAATGCATCTTTTTACTGATGTATAGAAACCGCAGAAATGTTTTTGTCCTAAGTCTTGTGGAATGAGCATACAAAGACAACAACAGGATGACGACCAATAAGCGAGGACATTGACCCGTCAGGTGTGACCCCAGTTTTGTAAAATATTTTGTTAAAAGACGTATGATTCACTCTGCATGCACTTTCTAAGTTGCACAGTTAGCATGCTACCACTGTTAGCTCGCTAAACATGCCACCAAATCTTTCACTTTGAAAAAATATATAAAAAGAGCTGTATTATATTCATCAATCTGTTAGCGAATTCATTTTTATGCTAACCTCCTGTGGCACAGTGCATACAGTCTGTCTGATGTCTGCTGCAAAGGTAAAACATTTTGCAATGCAGCCTACTCGAGGCAAATTCCGGACTGAAAAAACAAAGAGAGCAGTTTCGCAAACACAGAGGTCACTGAGGTTTTCATAGGAATGAATGGACTTCCAGTTAAGTGACACAAAGCTATGTGGAAACAAGGCGTGAGTCTGAACGAGATGGAGGTAGCTGCTTGCAGACAGAGAGGCTTCGCCCCAGCTACGCAACCAGAAAGCACTGTTGCCAACTCCTCAGTAAGAAAAGTAGCTACTGGCTGTCCTAAAAGTCGCTAGAAGTCGCTAAATGACGTCAT